TGTCCTTTCAACAGAGAGAGAATCAAACTCTAATTTTACAATTTTAGAACCAAATTCTAAGCTTACTTTTGATATTGAAATTCACTTAAATTAATTTTAATCTTATTCAGCTTGACAACACATAAAATTTCTATTATCAAGATTTGTTTTCACTAACCTTCTACAACTTTCTTGTAATTCCCTTTAAAAAATGCATTTCTATACCTTATACCTTCTATTACTAAAAACACACATCCTACTTTTCTTGCAGTCAGTGTCATTTCCCTTATTATTCCTAGTAGTTTCAATTACATATGATGGAAACTTTAGCTCTTTAAAACCTCAATTTCTGATGAAAAGTAAGTAATTGTAAACTGTTACATCAATATATACTTTTTTAGATTGGCAAATTTCTAAATACATTTCATAACTTATAGAAACATAAATTCTTTCACTGGCAAAAATATTTCATAATTTTTAGAAACAAAGCACAAACGATTCATTAACAGATCTCAATTTATCTTTTAGCGTCTCTGTATTAAGAAGCAAAAAGTAGGTAAACTTAGACTTATTTAACAATTAATGTTTCAATATTTAATCTTACTTGGAAATGTCTTAGACATTTAGTAATTTCCATCTTTAATTTAACTTAGTAAAACTCTAAAGTTCAAGTTAACCAAAAGAATTTGGGAAACTATTTTTAAGTACCTATACCATATAATTATTGCTAAACTTTTCACTTAAAAACGTTTTATTTTACTTGTATTTATTTACTAAATTAGTTCTTAACAATTATGTTTAGATCATTCATGAAAACTCTATGAGATGTTAGACTAAGTCAGCCATCATTCTGTTACTATTTTTGCTGAAAATTCTGTAAGCCTATGTAGAATAAAGGTATTATATCTAGTGCTAGTAATTCTAAAGACATGTATGTCATAATTAAACCAAAAAACTTAAACAACCTTTTATTTACAAAAGATTAATCTTAGATAATGTGAACTTGAAAAGCATTTTGGTTAGTTTTTGTTACATTTTCAAGAATTTATGTAAGTGCTTAATTACTTTAAGCTAATTAACAGAGTTTTAGTAATATTCTCTGGAGGTAGAAAAATACCATGTTGTACAGAAAACATACAGATAAACACAAACAGAGATTTCATAGTCATTGTTTTAAAATTATTACCACAAGGGCCGGCCGAGTGGCGCGATGGTTGAGAACTCGCTTGGGATGCCAGAGGGTCCCGGTTTGGATCCCACATGTGAGGGCCAGTGACACTGCCCTCCACAGCTAAGATGCTGAACAACAGCTCAACCTGGAGCTGGGCTGCCATGAGTC